AACTACACAAAAGTTATGCTCCCTATTCATGTTGATCACCCTAGGAAAGGCCTGTTGTGTATTCACAGACCTTATGTTCCATATTAATGTCTTGATCATCATTTAGATAGAGAAGCTGCCCTCCTGGGCATAATTCTTAAAGGTTGTTGTGACTCTTTATTCTGATTCTTCTTTGTTTTCTTGCCTCCTTTAGCACTAGTTGAAGTTTTCTTCTGTTGATTCATCATCTCCTTCATCCTCCATAGGATTTTGTCTCATTAAGTCTTCATCAGTTGGTGCCACATTGTGTGTAACTAAATCATGTAGATGTTGTAGTGGAGTCCTCAGTGGAACATTAAGTTGCAGCTGCATAATTTGATCAGTGCCATATTCCATAGGCACTTCCTCTATTTCCCCAGATGCTCTTGGAACAATTGCGTGCTCATCATTCTTTTCACTGTTATTCTCCGATCCTACTATATCTTCTCTAACCTTCACATTATCATCAAGTTTGTTCTCCAATGCATACACCAGAACACCATCTACATATGCCAAAATCCTGCCAGTTGCACTAGGGACAGGATTAACTATCGTTGCTTCATCAGGTGACCCTAGAGCCAGGCATGGCGTCGCCAGCCTAACGCCTGGGGTATTTGGCTTTAGGCCTGGCGTCGCCAGCCTAACGCCTGGGGAGCCTGGCTTTAGGCCTGGCGTCGCCATCCTACCGCCAGGTGGGCTGTTGTCCCTCACTTTGTCTTCTGTTGTCTTGGTCGTGCCTATTTGATCATCCTCTACCTCAATTGCATCACTCCCTACAACCTTAGTTGTGTTTATCTTATCAAGGTTATCAAGTTGCCCGGAATCTGCAAATGTTTGAGACGACATATCTTGACATGATTGGTTTGTAGTCACATTGAGTTGCCTTAGCTCCTCTTTGCTAGTTCCAAACCTTCTATGAACCCAGTCGATTGTGGATTCGTTATTAGCTTTTTCGTCAGTACTTTGATCACTAGGCACAATAGGATTAGCCTTAGCTAAGTTCCCATTATGCTGATCTCCAAACACTTTCTTCACTGCTTCCTTCTTCACACGCTTAAGTTCTTGTTGATTACTTTCTCCCGCTGGTTTAGTATTAGTAGGATTAGGGTTTGAAGCTCCGGTAGTGCCTTCTTTTTCCTTCTCATAGCCCTTCTTTGATTGATTTTCCCCATGTTCCTTCTCCTTACCATTGCTATGATCCTCACCTTTGCCTTCAGTAATTTGTAGAATAGGTTGATGAACTTCCTCAACCTCTAATGCATTAAACTTGTTCTTGGTTGCTACTTCCTCAAGTTTGGCCTTCCCTTTAGCCTTGTCAGCTTCCTTACCTTGTTTGTTATCAACAATGTGACCCCTATTATCCCGCTGGTATTTGTTCTTCCTTGCTTGTATCCATTCCTGCTTGGCATGATTAGTAGCAGGCTTACCAACCACCTTTCCACTTGACAAAATCTTTGTTGAATTTGCAGCTGTACCAATTGCTTCAGTACTCACCACAACTGTCTTCTCCTTGCCTTGATCCTCAACATCTTTATCAAATCTCTTGTGTAACTCAAGATGAATTACCCAATATTCTGCCTCACTATGCCCTTGTTTCTTGCAAGGCTTGCAATATTTAGGCATATAATTATACTTAATCCTAATCCATTTGAACTCTTCTGGCCCAGATTCATCAGCTTCTTCAACAATCTTAATACATTTAGGGAAATTACCTAGAAAATTCACTTCCACCTTTACCTTAGCACAACTAGGTCTAGTCTCATTTTGAGTTGCTAGGTCTACATGTAATGGATTACCAACTGCACGAGCTAATGAAAATACACATTCCTTACCAAAGAAATTTGGAGGACGTTCTGGAAAACTAATCCACGCTATGGCAATTGGAGTCTCTTCATCAGGTGTCCACCATGGATTCCATTTTGTACAACGCATCTGCCACATGTCTGATTGAGCCTTTAAATAAAAAGCTAGCTTTGAGAGAAGATGAACATAATCCTCCAATAAAGACATCCTAATTAACACATGATTGTCTTCAATCAAGCCAACTGAACAATGACCCTTAATCTCACATTGAATTGGAATCACTTTACGTAATTCACCAATAACAGGCTTCCCATATGAAAATTTCCCAAGAACTGCAAGTTGAAGCTCTTGTTGTATGATAGATTGCTTCACTTCTTATTTCTTCCACTTCACAACTGGTTCTCCATGAAGGAACTCAACTGGTTTCAATGGTAACGTAGCTAGGGTTTGCATGTGCGTATTTATGACAGTACGGTTTAATAAATTTGCATAGGTTTTAGGTGGATTAGGGTTTGTATTAGGGTTTGTAGTGGTTGGAAATGGCTGAGGAGGGGAGGGAGACGACGGACCAACCTCAGGAGGAGGCTTGCCGCCGACCGTGGAGGCCATGAAGGGCAGTCGCCGACGTGCAGTTGATCGCAAGAGAGAGGTGAGAGAAGGGAGCTCTCTCTGTTAGGGTTTGTATTAGGGTTTATTCATTCTTATAGTGTTTTGAATTTAGGATTTAGTCCAAATTTCGTATGGGCTTGATCCGTTAAAATATCGATGCTTACACTCTTCTTTGATCCCGAATACCCATGAATCTCTCTCATCACTAATCAAAATTTGACTTATTGCCGACTCATATTTAAGGAGAATATCCCAATTCCCAAGTACAGCTTGGTCAATGTTAGTAGTAATAACTAGTAATAAACAATGAAATTATCATAATTAGATTCAAGTAGTCAAGTGAAATACAAAATTTAATTAGGAATTCCCTCATTTTTTTCCTAGTGAATCTCCCTCATTACTAACAGAAATCTCATTTATTGGCAATTCAAATTTGAGAAAATATTCCATGTACAACTTATTTATTATTGTTCAAATGATTTAATAATGTAAATATATTTAATTGGCGATGTGCATAAGTTAACCTCAAACAAATAAAAAACAAAAAAAAAAGTGAAAAAGCGAGAACAAGATTCACTGTTCAAGATTCCATTTGTACCGAGGAGAGGGGCCATGATTCCACCCGTTACCAAAGAACGTAAATTAAAGTCCAAAAATAAGAAAATTTACTGAAAATACACAGAAAATCCGGGGGGAGGGGAGGGGAGGGGAGGGATTAAATAAAAATGAGAGGGGAGTAGAAACTAGAAAGAGAGGAAATTTTTTATTTTGTGTCTAATATTAGTCGTGCAAGACCTCTTTTTTGTCTCACAATTTTATAGACCTAGATTTTTATGGATTCAAACATGTAAGATATAGATTTACAAATTTGTAAAATAAAAAAATATTTCATACAATTAATGTTAGTTATGTAACGCACACCATAAAACTTAACAACAACTTCTTCTGTATATGCGCCGAGTAACATCTCATCAATCAAAGTGATTATAAGAGGGAGAAAGCTAACCAAAAGGCAAAGAAAAACCAAGTCTGTAAGAAAAGTAAAAGGAAAGAAAGAGAGAGCAGATAGACAAAGAAAAGAAGCCATTTGTTAAGCAACTAGCATAGCTGGCAGGCAATAGAAGCAGCCGGGAAAGCATGCATTTCTTTCTCTATTCAATTTCCCCCCCGCCCTCCTTAGCGTATCAAATCAATAGCGCTTTGATGGATTTAAATCATATTCATTGTATGTATAAGGGATTTTATGCTATTAATTCAATTCAATCGATTATAATATGTTACTACTCTATTTTTCGGATAATCATATCTGATTTGCCATGAAGACCATATAAAGTCAATTTAACGTGATAGTAAAACAAATTTAAATTTAAGTTATATGTATATATTAACAGTTAATTATTTTTTGATGCTCTTACGTATTGTTACTTTAAATACGATATTTGTTTTGGTTGTTACTTAAATTTTATTGTATTGTATCGTTAAATCCGTCGTTACGTAACGATGAAATGTGCCACTTTATGTAACGACCGATTTAGTGTGGTTACGTCGTTATCTTGTCTTTTTTCTCTCATCTCACCCTTTACTATTATTATATCATTTTATTTTATAACTTACCCTACCTTTTTATATAATAAATTTACCCAGTATCATAATTTTTCTTTATAATATTGCAAATTTATTCTTCATATTGTTGGTGCATGATATCATGAAACAACGACAAACGATACAATCTATCCAAATATCGTATTCCTCAAACGATGTTGTACAATACAATACGATACATCATGAAATAATGTGTAACAACCATCCAAACAAGCTGTTAGTGTAGTTAAACATGTGATAGTAAATTATCAATTTTTCAAGTTAACAATTAGTGCTATCATTGAAATTGACATATAATTATAGTGATTTAATTGCATAAAGAATTTTACAAAATTTAAACTCTATTTATTTTTTGACTCCTACTTAGACTCCTAATTAATAGATGCTACTCCATCCATTTTAATTTATGCGAACCTATTTGATTTAACACGGGATTAAAGAAAAACGAGAAGATTGTTGAGCTTGTGAAGTAAAATGAGGCATATATATATTTTGTGTAACCAGATATCATTGCATAAATATAAATTGTTTTCAGTGATCAGACTAAAAAAGAAATAGGTTCATAAACTGCAACGGAGGGAGTACATCTTATCGACTAAATCAACCTCTTTTATTCATTATATTTATTCTTTCAATTAATAATGCCTTAATCTCAAGTTAATTCTAAATGTTCGTTTTATTTAGGCCTAATTTATCTCAAAATCATATTCAAAGAATCCATTATCCATTATAATTATAATAATTCTTTTTCCGTTATTCATAGTAGTACTTGGGAATCCACCATACTTACTTTACATAAAGACAACATAATGGAGTTAAATTGATTTCTTTTCCTTTTCCTAACATTTACTAATTCCTTTCCACATCTATCTTTGGAAACTGCTCTGATATAGGATATCCTGTTTAATGTATTTGTATTTTTAGTATATGTGTAGTTATTTAGTCATAAATCTGCTTTTTGTTGCTTATTTTCTTTCTGTATAATAGGCCACCACCTCTTCCCTCATATTCTCCGTAAGTAGTATAGTAGTATATGTATTTTTGGCTTTTTTGTTTCCACCCACCATTTCATTGTCATCTCATCCTTCAACTCCCCATCCACCCACACGTCCTCCCTTTCGTGGTCTTCTGTTAAACTCGGTGAGTCTTGTATGTATCTTTGGTTCTTTTGTATTAGAGGGAAAGAAGCAATCTTGGTCATATATAGATACAGAGAGGTGAAATCGTTTTGCTCATATTTGGAAAATCATATCTAATGCTTTTTTGCCCATTTTGTCATTGTAGATCTGTCGCTTCACTTGTTTCTCTTTCAAAGGTAAATTTATTTCTCTTTTACTCGATCTTCTCTGTTGCCTCATGTTTTTTTGGTTATTTTTCTCCCCTTTTTCGAAGTTTTTTTTTTTTTGATTATTTTTTGTGTCTCTTTCTCATTTTTAGTTCGGGGTTTGTGTGTAAATTCCATTTATTTGAGATGGTGGAGATTTTCCTTTAGAATTTTCACTATTTTCTGTGTTAAAAAGCTCCTTTTTTTGGCTGATTTTTGACTTGGTGCATACCTGCTTCCACCCATCTTCTCTTTTTCGAAATTAAGTATCTTTTTGTTCTTTATAGAGCTGTTTTAGAGATGGAATGAGTTAAAAGCTTGTCTTTTTGAATAAAAAGCAACTCTTTTTAGCTCTTATGCTTAGATGGTTGGAAAGACATTGATTTTTATTTGACCAATTATATGGGATATTTGGAAATTAAGAAACTTTTATCTTCATTCGTTGGTTCTTGATGTCTACATACATGTAATCAGATTACAGATGTATGCCATTTTTATATAATATATATTTTTTTTTTTTGTAGTTTCAAGTAAATCTTGCTTCTTTTCTTGTCAATGTTTATATTCGGCTTGGCCATGGATATTTTGTTCTTTGATATATTCTCTTGTTTATTTATCCTGGTCCTGGGGTTGGTTTAGGTGATGGGGTTTCTATATTTCTAGTGGGATGTTGTTTTCTGGTTCGCTGTGCTTCAATTTACCTTTACTTCTATTTGAAGACTAGGGTGTTTGATAGGTTTTATCTGGTTCTTTGGTATGCAAAGTAGTTGTGGTATGAGAATACTTTTACATAGTTGTTGTTGCTTAAAGTTTTCCTACTACTTCAATCTAACAGAAACCATTTCACTCATTGTAATGCAAATTTTCATGAGGTGCACCCGATCAGTTGCTTTCAAGGCAATATAACATTGACTTTTTACAAGGTTTAGTTTTCTACTTTCCAGGTTACTGAAGGACTAGGTGCGGGTCTCTGCACTCTGCAGTTCCTTCTTAGACTCACTTGTGGATTGTGAATAGAGTATAACATAGCCCTAATGCAAGGGCAACGAAGTACCATCGGTTCATTTTCAGAAACTTTAGATTTTGGTTCTACTTCAACATCGGGTGATGGTATAGATCAGCAGATGTGTTGGAATAGTCGTGTACCAGATTATGTGGTATCACCTAATGAGAATAATATTTCTTTTCTTAATCCTATGAGCCAAGAGAGACAGAACATAATGGGGTGGGGTTTAGGAGAACCGAGCTCCACAAATCATGCTGGTCAGAGTGAACGGAAAAGAGATCATGGTTGGTCATCTACTACGAATGCATGTCCTGAGCCTTCTCACTTCTCTGACGGACATCAATATGGGTCGCCCAACATTCTTTCATTGAGTAATGTAGAAGTAAATTTGAACAGTGTTCAGACGGCTAACAGCAGTATATTCTCTCAAGGTTCTAGTCCAACTACCCTTCCTCATGATATCAACACAAATTCAGGGTTTGAGGGGCACCATGGTGATGATGACAGTGAAGATGACTGTCAAATAATGGAATGTACTCCAGCATACAAGTCTGATTTACCAGGAAAAGAGCGGATGTCATCTGCTACTACTTGTCATACTTTTGCTGGGCCTTCTGGTACTAATGGATTCTTGATAGATGAAAATGATGGCAGGCCAGGCTCTGCGTTGGATGGTCGTCGCTTATCTTGCAAGAGAAAAGCACTTGAAGGACATCCGGGCCAATCTTCAGCAAGTGGAAGTAGAAATTATATTCCACATGCCGAAAACAGCTTATGGCATTCTCTACCTTCTCCACATAGTATGGGCACAGGTGCAAGTATCTGTGCTCCAACAGAAGGGAGCAGAAGCATCAATTCGTCGGAGCAGCTTAACCCAAGACTTGGGCTTTCAATGGGAGGACCCACTTCAGAAAGTCCACTTCGTTTACCTGCTTCTGGAATTGCCGAAAGTTCCAGTAATACTTTCAGGCTGAGGGTTAATAGCTCACATCAACAAGATACCATTCCCAGTAACCTGTTTCCTGCTGTGGCTGATGCTGGAAATGTTAATGTGTCATCTGACTGGCACTCATCAAGGGTCTTCCATAATAGTTCTTTGAATTTGATGTCTATGTCTGCCGCAGATAATGTAAATCCTCAAAGCCAGGCCCCGGTGGTCCATGTTCCTTCTCTGCATCAAAGTTCACAGGCTAGGTGGGATTTAGCACCTAACTCGAGATCTAGCAGTTCATCAAGCTTTTCTGCATCTAGAGAGAGAGACTCTGCACCATATCAAGAATCCCACTCAAGAAGTTTGTCAAGGAACATTTCACAACATCCAATGTTTATGCCTGCTACTGATGCAAGAAATCTGAACCAAAATCCTGTCAACTGGAGTTTAGCTGGTGGTGGGAATATTTCCAGTGTTGGAAATGCTGCATCCACATCTCGAAGTAGCTCGAGTTCACGCTCCAACTTGTCTTCTCCTTCTTGGGTTCAACACAGAAATCCTCCACAATATTCCCGGAGACTGTCTGAATATGTCCGAAGGTCTTTGTTGTCTTCAGCAGATGCTGAACCTGGAGGTCGTAGTGGTAGTAGTCCTTCACTATGTCTGAGTGCTGCCTCTCGGGCGTTGGAACTGTCTGGCAATCGTGGACATCGTCAATCAAGGTCAAGGTCCACAGCATTGTCGGAGAGACATCTTGATGGTGGTATAGGAGTTTCTCATTCTAGAAGAACTTTGGCTGCTGCCAGTGAAGGAAGAAGCAGGCTAGTCTCTGAGGTATGTTCTGCAACTTATGTGGTCAAATATGCTTTCACATTTGTTATACGAAGCCAAAGTGGACTTAGACCCTAATCTGCTTATAATAGGCCTTATTTACGTATCACTCAATAATTTGCTTACCAATAGGAATCGTAGGGCATGCATCGCAATAAAATCCAACGGTCACTACAATAAGATCTCAATGAACCTAAATTTGTGATCCCAAATATAGCAGATTGAGCTTTCTTACTTATGTCCTTCTCAGGTTTTGCACGGATAAGGTATGTTACTCTTGTAGTTGTGGATGCAAATGTATTCTATAGTTGTATCCTTAAATATCCAACTGTGTTCCTCTTGACGTTTTGTCACCTCAAACCGGTTAAACCTATTTGATGATAAAATTTCTGAAGTGCTTTTGCTAGTGTCTATGCTAGATGTAATTTAGTGGCTCTTACTGTAATGTACAACCTCTCACAAGTGCATTATCTTACTAAGGAGTTAGGAGTCCATTTTACCTTTTTATTCTTGGATGCAGTTTCCAAGCTTTGATGTGGAAAAGGTCTGCTCTTTTGGTTTGGGGTTTGTTTCGTAGATTATCTTTCTCTCATGCAATTATTGTTACAAGGAGCAATGGTGCATTTAGCTTATAGTTAATAGTGTTAGCCTCACCTAGTTTCCAGCTTAATTGGAGGTTTTTGTAAAAGACTAGAATGAGAAAGCTTTAATTCTTTTTTATGTATGTAGTTTGCCTGCTGGAGTTACTAATGCTCTTTTGCTGTTTGTTTTTTGTTTTTGTTTTCTTTTTCCTTTTCCTGAGCCGAGGGTCGATTGGAAACAGCCTCTCTGCCCTTTCGGGTAGGGGTAAGGCCTGTGTACGTATTACCCTCCCCAAACCCCACCTTGTGGGACTATACTGGGTAGTTGTTGTTGTTGTTGTATGCATGTAGTTTGCATTGTAAACCGTCCATTTATTACCAATTACTTGCCATTAATCAATTTTGTTGAACAGATTCGCAATGTATTGGATCTTATGCGCAGGGGAGAAGGCTTACAACTTGAGGTTAGATTCTTGAGTAGGATGATGGCTTTATAAGTTTACAGCTTTTCTGTTCTATTGGATTACAAGCTTCTCTATCACCTACATGGTCGGAGGCATAACAGATGTTGCTACAAAGCCAGGAACCTTGGTTTTGGCTGCCATGGCTAGACTGTACTTTGTGCTGAAAAGCCAAGGCTTCCTCTGATGGTTTTGCCTTTATATTTTTTTTCCATCTTTATTCTTTTTCAGCTGAGTCTTAAGCGGTTTGTTTTTCCTTGTCTGGAGGAATATGAAGTAATAATGAACCAACTTGATGTGTAAGACAGGCTAATTTGAAGGATTTGTTGCTAACAGTCATTTACTTCAAACTTCTATTTCTACGTTTCAAAATGTGTTTTTGAAAGTCAGATATATAAATACTATTTTGTAAACTAGAAAGCACGTGCAGAACTACCAACCTGTATTATGCTATGCTCTTTACTTACATGCCTAGAGCCTGCATAAACAAGTGCTGTGTTACTGTGTATGAAGTGAGCAAACAGCAATATATCATCAAGTTTTGCTCTAGAGAGGAAATAAATAAAACTATTCTGTTTTCTGTTTAGATCAAAATTCATTCTTTGGATTCCTGTTATTCACTGTGAGAAAGCACAGGAGAAATTATATTATTGATGTATTAACATATGTTACAATGAGCCCTATATATATACACACATAACATGTCCTACTCCTGATATATATTGGATTAGGGTTATTTATTTACTCCTATTTACATGACTATTCTAACACTCCCCCTCAAGCTGGTGCATATAAATCATATGTACCGAGCTTGTTACATATGTAGTTAATACGAGGACCATTGAGGGACTTGGTGAAAATATCTGCAAGCTGATCATTCGACTTCACAAACTTTGTAGCAATATCTCCCGAGAGTATCTTTTCTCTAACAAAGTGACAGTCAATCTCAATGTGTTTAGTTCTCTCATGGAACACTGTATTTGACGCAATATGAAGAGCAGCTTGATTATCACACACAAGTCCCATCTGACTAATCTCACCAAATTTCAACTCCTTGAGCAACTGTTTGATCCAAATTAGCTCACATGTCGCCATAGCCATCGCTCGATATTCTGCTTCTGCACTAGACCGAGCAACCACATTCTGTTTCTTGCTCTTCCAGGACACCAAATTTCCTCCTACCAAGACACAATATCCAGACGTAGAACGTCTATCAGAAGGTGATCCTGCCCAATCAGCATCTGAGTATCCAACGATCTGCTCATGGCCTCGACCCTCAAACAATAAACCTTTGCCTGGAGCTGATTTTATATACCGAAGAATGCGAACAACTGCATCCCAATGACTATCACACGGAGAATCCATAAACTGACTCACAACACTCACAGAAAAGGAAATGTCAGGTCTTGTCACTGTAAGGTAATTTAATTTACCAACCAACCGTCTATATCTTGCAGGATCGCTAAGAGGCTCCCCCTGTCCTGGCATAAGTTTAGAATTCGGATCCATCGGAGTGTCAACCGGTCTACAACCTGTCATTCCTGTCTCTTCAAGAATATCTAAGGCATACTTTCGTTGTGAGATCACAACACCTGAGCTAGACTGAGCGACCTCAATACCCAGAAAATACTTTAGTTTGCCCAGATCCTTAGTCTGAAAGTGTTGCAAGAGATGTTGCTTCAATTTAGTAATACCATCCTGGTCATTGCCGGTAATAACAATGTCGTCAACATAGACCACCAGATAAATACAGAGACTCGAGGCAGAATGCCGATAGAATACAGAGTGATCAGCTTCACTCTGAATCATGCCAAATTCTCGAATAACTGTGCTGAACTTACCAAACCAGGCTCGAGGAGACTGCTTTAGACCATAAAGTGACCGACGCAAGCGACATACAAGGCCACGAGACTCCCCCTGAGCAACAAACCCAGGTGGTTGCTCCATATAAACTTCATCCTCAAGGTCACCGTGTAAAAAAGCATTCTTAATGTCCAGCTGATAGAGGGGCCAATGGCGAACAGCAGCCATGGATAGAAAAAGGCGGACTGATGCTATCTTAGCCACAGGAGAGAAGGTATCACTGTAATCGAGCCCAAATATCTGAGTATATCCTTTGGCAACAAGACGAGCCTTAAGACGATCAACCTTACCATCCGGACCAACCTTGACTGCATACACCCAACGACAACCAACAGTAGATTTACCTGAAGGAAGAGGGACGAGCTCCCAAGTACCACTCGTATGTAAAGCAGACATCTCGTCAATCATAGCCTGTCGCCATCCTGGATGAGACAATGCTTCACCTGTAGACTTAGGGATGGAAACAGAGGACAAAGAAGATAGAAAAGCATAATAGGGTGATGACAAACGATGATAACTCAAACCGACATAATGGGGATTAGGATTAAGGGTGGCCCGTATACCTTTCCGAAGTGCAATCGGTTGATTAAGAGGAGACAAGTCCGCAGTATTAGCAGGGTCAGGTGCAGGACGTGAATCAGCTGGACCTGATGCTGGGCGCGGACGACGATGATATGTCAAAAGTGGTGTTCCTGTGGCAGGGAGTCTAGGAGGAGCCACACTAGACTCCTCAACGGCTGGAATGGATAAGACTTCTATAGCGGAAGGTGAAGGAGGAGCTATAGGAGACTCGGGTAAGACTTCTGTGGCGGAAGGTGAAGGAGGAGCTATAGTAGACTCCTTAAAGGTCGGTATAGGTAAGACCTCAGATATATCAAGGGGGTCAGAAAGGTCAGAAGAGGTAAAGAAAGGTTTAGACTCAAAAAATGTGACGTCAGAGGACATAAAGTACCTACGAAGATCAAGTGAGTAACAACGATAGCCCTTCTGAACACGAGAATAACCAAGGAAGACACACTTGAGAGCACGAGGAGCTAACTTATCTTTCCCAGGGGCTAGGTTATGAACGAAACAAGTGCTCCCAAAAACACGAGGGGGAACAGAGTATACGGGTGATTGGGGACACAATACTGCATACGGTATCTGATTCTGGATGGGAGAGGAAGGCATCCGATTAACTAAATAACAAGCTGTGAGAACTGCATCGCCCCAAAAACGCAGCGGAACATGAGATTCAATGAGAAGTGTGCGAGCAGTCTCAATGATGTGCCTATTCTTTCTCTCTGCAACCCCATTTTGCTGAGGGGTATAAGGACAAGAGGTCTGATGAATAATTCCTTGAGAAGTCATAAACTGCTGAAATTGAGAGGATAAATATTCTAAGGCATTATCACTGCGAAAAGTGCGAATGGAAACACCAAATTGATTTTTAATTTCAGCACAAAAATTCTGGAATATAGAAAACAACTCAGAACGATCTTTCATTAAGAAAATCCAAGTACATCTTGAATGATCATCAATAAAACTAACAAAATAACGAAATCCCAAGGTTGAACTGACTCTACTAGGACCCCATATATCAGAGTGAACTAAAGAAAAAATAGACTCTACGTGACTCTCAATACTACGAGGATAGGAGGCTCGGGTATGTTTCCCGAGCTGACATGACTCACACTCTAATGTGGATAAACTAGACAAACCAGGCACCATCTTCTGAAGCTTGGATAAGCTTGGATGTCCTAAACGTTTGTGAATTAGGTCCGGAGGATCTGTAACTAGACATGCCTTGGAGGATTTTAGGGAGTTAAGGTAGTAAAGCCCTTCTGATTCAAGTCCTGTTCCAATCGTCTGCCCTGTACTGCGGTCCTGCATAATAAAAGAATCATCAATAAAATATATACCACAATGGAGGGCACGAGTCAAACGACTAACAGATGCAAGATTAAAAGGACAGCCAGGGACATAGAGAACGGAATCTAGAGTGACAGAGGGTAGGGGATTCGCTTGTCCAACTCCTTTTGCTTTGGTTTGAGACCCATTGGCTAAAGTAACAGTGGGAAGAGACTGTGAATACGCAATATTTGACAAAAGTGATTTATTACCAGAGATATGATCAGAAGCGGCTGAGTCCACAACCCATTGTCCAGGAGGACTAGACTGGGAAACACAAGCAAAAGAATTACCAGCAACAGAAGTATTAGTCTGAGCAACAGAAGCTACTTGTGGAGATGTCTGCTTACTTGCTCGATACTGAAGGAACTCATTATACTCCCCTTCAGATAAAGAAAATCCCTGGTTACCTGTAGTCTCAGTCTGAGCAACATAAGCATTTTTGGTTGGGCGGCCATGTAAAGAATAGCATACATCACGAGTGTGTCCAAGTTTATGACAATAGGAGCACTTGGGTCTAGATCTTCCAAAACGACCTCCTCCTCGTCTATTCTCCATAGTATGAGATGCCCGATTGTCCACTGATTGGGATACGAGGACAGATGAGTCAAGTGTCTGTGATGAGCTCACTGGGTGACTAGGTGCTGCAGCAAGGCGAAGTAATCGAGAGAATAATTCATCAACTGTGGGGACGGTTGGACTAGCCAAAATCTGGTCACGTACTGAATCAAGGTCATTAGGGAGTCCAGCGAGTGTAAGAACTAGAAACATCTTCTGTCGTTGCTCTTGTTGCTTTTCAATACTAGCAAAAACTGGCATCAACGTCTCAAATTCTTCCATGACTGCCTGAACTTGTCCCAAGTAAGTAGACATATCTAATTCCTGTTTCTTCAAGCTTGTCATTCGCGATATTACATCATAGAAACGAGATATGTCATTAGTGTATAGATTACGAGCCTTTTCCCAAACTAAATAACATGTCTGGAATAGACGGAACAAGGGCATCAACTTGGAATTAATAGATCGCCACAGGATACTACATAACTGAGCATCGACCTTCTCCCACTGTGTTTTGGCCTTTTCATCACCTTCGCTAGCCTTTTTTGTTAAATGATCTTGAACTCCTTGACCTTTACACCACAACTCGACAGATGAAGCCCAATCTAAGTAGTTTGAACCTCCCATTAAAGGTTCTGAGGTAATCATAACACCGGAACTGCCAGAACCCGGGTTTCTAGACCCGAAAGCATCGACTCCCAAAGACATAGTTGGATTATCACCAAATAACAAAAAGAATCAACTGAAAATTCTCTGAAACAGATGAAGAAAACACTGTGTTTGCCGGAAAAGTACTGTAGCTGCCGGAAGAATCAGTGTAGTCACCGGAAAAACTCAAAGTGGTCGGAATCAAACGAAAACAGGATGGGTAGGGTCGGAATTGTTGTGCGACCAGGCTGTCCTGAAGAAGCTCGGCCAAAAAATGGCCGGAAGAGGCCTCACGCGCCGGCGCGTGACGACGGAGACTCGCCGGAAAATATTTTCCGGCGGCGCGTGAGGGCGCGTGGGAGAGGTTCTGCCGGAGAAATTTTTGTGGTTTGGTCGCCGGAAGCTGATCTATCTCGTGGTGGTGTTGGTTTTTGCACAACACCGACGGATATTGATTTTTTTCTTGCGGACAGTGCTGTTTTGCCGGAAAAAAAGGTTTTTTTTTTTTTTTTTTCTTCCTGGAGTCGCTGGAATTTACGCACAGCGATAAATATCTCACGATAGCTCTGATACCATGTGAGAAAGCACAGGAGAAATTATATTATTGATGTATTAACATATGTTACAATGAGCCCTATATATATACACACATAACATGTCCTACTCCTAATATATATTGGATTAGGGTTATTTATTTACTCCTATTTACATGACTATTCTAACATTCACCATGGAGATTAAGATCACGGTCAGGGCATCATTTTACTCGTTAACTTATTTTCCATTCCATTCGTAATGGAAGTAGAGTCATTTTCATTGATGAAGAGAGTGAAAGAGCTTTCTTCTCAGTTCTATATGTGCATATGATAGATTAGCTTATCAAAAAAGTCACATATGGAATTTAATATCCTTATATTCCAGGATGTTATGATCCTTGATCAGTCAGTCTTCTTTGGAATGGCGGATATTCATGATCGCCATAGGGATATGCGGGTTGACGTTGATAACATGTCGTATGAGGTTAGTGGGCTGAATAGAATTGCATTATACTCTATGCAAACGTTATGCTAACTTGTCCAGGTGCTGTGTTTGCAGGAGTTACTGGCACTTGAAGAGCGCATTGGGAATGTGTGCACTGGACTGAGCGAAGAAGCTATTTTGAGCCAGTTGAAGCAACACAACTATATTTGCGTTAAATCAGAAGAACCCGTCGATGCAGAGCCATGCTGTATATGTCAGGTACTTAATTTGAAATGTTCTACAACTGCGACATGCCAGAGATCTAATAAAATATGGTTCATACACATTCTTGGAGTGTTCTCATTCAGGCGTTCTTATGGATTTCCTATAATTTGCAGGAAGAATATAATGATGGAGAGGATCTTGGTACACTGGAGTGTGGCCATGATTTTCATAGAGACTGCATTAAACAATGGCTCAAACACAAGAATATATGCCCCATTTGCAAAACAACAGGGCTGAATGCCTGAGGAAGGCGTTGAACTTGTTCTCTTCTTTAAGAAAGTCTTCCTGATGCCCACCCAAGAATGGCGCCACAAAGTGGTTTCCGTGGCATCATTGGAGAAAGATATTTGTATTTTTCTCTGTTTATTTTATTCTGATATTAATCTGGTGGATTTAGCACTAGCATCATAGTCATTCATTTAGGAAAGAATTACATTATTGCTCATTTGGAATTTACAGTTTCCCTACCAATTTATTGACACAATTGGTATTTATTTGGTTCATCTTCTTCCCCCCCCCCCCCCCCCCCCCCCCTCTCTTCTGTTTCCTAAGGTGTCCGTTTGGTACGAACATAGGAAGAAATAATCCCCAACAGAATCTAGCATTGTTTAATACAATTGTCACTCCTCTTTTCCATAGAAAACATAGCATTGTTAATTCAATGTGTAATTCATATTTCTTTTTCGCATAAAATATTTACACATAAAAAAGATGCTAGGATTTATGTATTATTTTTATGCAAATTGTAACGATTTTATCGGTCGTTTGAGTACTAGCTTACTTTTTGTGTTTTGAGACTTTTCATAGCTTATTTGATGACTAGCAAAATTTTTTCGCGCTCCGCGCGGTTATAAAAGACATTACTCAATTTTTAGTATATAATTTTATAGAAGTAGAAAGATAAAAATCATACGTATGCCTATAAAAAATAAATTTACATATGGTGAAATTACAAGTATAATATTTTTATTATAAATGAAACCTTCATGAACTATAGTTTCATTAGTATATTTTCTTCAAGAACAGTAAAAAGAGAAAAGAAATTAATGGTATAGCTAGTAAAACTTGGGCGAACAAACATGAGATGTTTTTGTCTTTTTTCTTCTATACTCCCTCTTTATATATGCGTGTATGTCGTTATCGACACAGTATTGATTCCTAGCGGTACTAATCTTCTTATACAGTCAAACCTATTTTCTGATAATGAAAAAGAGTATCAAAGGTAAGTTTATTTTCTTCTTAACTTAAATTTAATCTTTTATTCTAACAGGAACGCATCTCTCTTGTTCCTCTTTCATTCATGTTACAATTCTCGTATTAGAAAACTATATAATTCTAGATTATTATAATAATTTTGAGATTATAAAATAAGCCCATATATATATATATATATATTATATATATAATATATATATATATATATATATACTACTACCCATTTAAATTATGACACAACTCTTGGAACCCTAAATTAGGAAGAATTCTTTCATAATGATATATAAGATCAACCTGAATATTCGAAAATATAAATTCGCTTCTTCAAGATAATGAAATCACATTGTGTCAACTATATTTTTTTTTTAAACAATAAAGTCACAAATTTATAAAACTGCAAAAGAGTATAAATTTATCCTCAGATTTGACAATGGTGGAATAATTAGATGAAACTGTTCCTTCAATTTTATAGAATATAATATTATTCGACTAATCATATAAAACCAGAAGTTAACACAAAATGGAGGAAGAAAATTGAATGTGAAAGTCGTCTGGTAACTCTGTCCAACGGCTTAAAAAGAATACCTATTTTGTGATTTTGCTTAATAAAAGTAGAAAAAAGAATGAGAACAATTATTCAAGTTATATAACAACAATAGCATAATTCTATAAAAGAAGAAAAAGAAAGAGATAACAGTTGATAAAAAAAGAACTATAACTAACCTACCTAGATACATCAGAAATGCCATATTGTAGATACCGCAGTATAGAGATTTCAATTTAAATCACTCCTTCGGACCTGTCTAGTTGTAAACTTTGGATGACTATTCTTCTTTTCATCTCTTTTGGGTCCTTTTTAGTTTCATTTATAAAGCAGCAAATCCTAATGAAGCATATTCATGGTAGGAACATACAGTATAACTGTAGAATAAATGAAGATCGACAATGCTTTTGAGATGTATATCCGCCATCTTGAAGAATAAACTTCTTTATTTTTTATAAAATTCAAAAGAGGATCACATTTGTCTATTAGAGCCTCCTTGTTGTGTAGTATCAGCCTGCTAACTTCTTCATAGGGTGAGACGGGCAAAGAAACCTGTAGTGAAGGTCAAACAAAGAACGTAGGCGTTAGGAGATTTTCACATAATATTGGAGAAGCCAGAATCGTTGTTTGGAATTCCCTTCATATAGCTATTGCTGCCATCGCCAGAATCGTTGTTTGGAATAATTCTCTTCATATAGCTATTGCTGCCATTGCCAGAATCATTGTTTGGAATTCCCTTCATTTAGCTATTGCTGTCATTCCGTATCTTCGTATTTTCAGTCTCTTCACCGCATATCATAATATAGTTTGCAAGAGGGCCATTAGTTTCATTCATTTAGTACCAAAAACTGAAAAGTTTGTGAATGTCTTAAAAGGAATATTTTGGATAGTTATTGAAAGTAATAATTACCCAACAAAACGGCTGTCTATCTATTCCGTTTGTGAATTAAAGATGTGTCGCTTCGTTACCTCACTATTACAACTCTTTAATGCAGTCACAACTCTTCATAGTCTTTTTTATATATAAAAATAATAAATAAATAGTTGAAAAGAGGAAAAGAAGCAAAGAATGAACAAAAAAGGTCAAAAATAGGAGAAAAAAGATAAATAGGATCCTTGGCTTAAGAGAGGTGCCACCTCACTTTCCTATTACCCTCTTTTATATATATATAGATTTATGACTTGCACGCGTGGTCCGTATCGATTGTAAAAAAAATTTAATGTGAATTTTTAAAGAAAAAGTAATTTTTAACTTTGAAAATGGTTGGAGTTGATGACGATTCCAGTAGGTTCGTATGATGATTTTGGACTTTTATGTATGTTTGATTGCGGTCCCTTCAGCGCTTTATGAAGAAAGTTGGAAATTTGAGTTTGAACTTTGAAAATCTTGAGTTTTGATGATCAATTCTTTATTTTAGATGTTATTTTGATGATTTGAGCTTGCGAGCAAGTTTGTATGATGTTACTATACTTGTGTGGATGTTCGGATTGTAGCCCGAGGGGCTCAGATGACTGTTGTAGACTGATTTGGTGTGACTGTTGTGTTGCCGGTGTTGTTGACTGCAGATCTCGCATTTGTGAGGTACTGCTCGCAAATATGAGCCTCGCATTTGCGGGATCATGCTTGCATTTGCGATGCTGGAGGGGGATGGGTAGCATCACATGACGCTTCTGTGATTGGGGTGGCCTTCGCAATTGCGATGGGCTAATCGCATTTGCGACTCTGAAGAATAGGGACAGCTTCGCTTTTGCGAAGACAATTCCCATTTGCGATCGTTGTGTTGCATTTGCAACATCAAAGGAGCTTAAGCACTGAACGTATTTGCGATCAGTGGTTCGCATCTTCGCATTTGCGGACGTTGCAATTGGGTAAAATATGGGGATTTCGAGACTTAGCTCATTTTAAACTATTTTGAGACCTAGACTCCACAGAGACGATTTTTGGAGAGCAATTGTAATGACCCGGCCGGTCGTTTTGAGAATTTAAAATATTTTATAAAAGGTAAATTTGTTCGACACTATTGTGGATAACTGGATCTCCTTTAAATTGATGTCATAATCTTGGCCGGGTATCCATTCCTGTGTATATTGTGGTGCTTGCTGTTTTTTTTGGGACCATCCAGTTTTAGGGAAAGCTCTGCCAAAATTTTTGGAAATTTGAAAAGTTGGATAAATTTTGAGTACCTTGGTTCTAGATTCATTCTAGAGGGATACTAATGAGTTAATTAGTTTTATCATCTCATGTACATGCTTAATTTCTCCCTAAAATGAGGATAGGCTCCTTCATCCAACTTATGGACGACGAGCATAAGATTACGTTTGTGATTCTATTTATGGTTTTCTTCATGGTCTCTTGAGTCCATATGATGCTGCAACATGTGTTGTGCCTCATAGATGCTTGCATTGATTATGCTGGGGGGATATAGCCCATAACACAAGCGAGGCCTATTGATTATATGATGGGGGGAGATAGCCCATAATACCAGCTGGGACTATTGATTATAGATTCACCTACTGGGGGGATATTGCCCATAATGTTAGTCAGACATGTTATATACGTGTATATGGCTACGGTTTGCATTGCATGACTATACATGTGCTAGTTCAGATGTTCAATTACCTAATTGAGGAGATATAGCCCATAACGCCAGACAGGTACATGTTCAGATAGTAGTTCGGTTTTAGCTTAAACTTCGGTTCAGTTCCAGATTAGTTGCTAGTTGAGACTCTTATTTAGATTTCAGCTTAAATTTCGATTTCTAGCTTACAACCATGCTTTAGTATTCCACCCTACATACTTCGTACATATTGTACTCACGTCACTTCCGGGGCACTGCATTTCATGTCGTGCAGGTACAGATAGATCAAGTCTTGAGTCACATCAGTTGGCCATCCACTAGCTGTTGGAGTCACTCCGCTTACTCCCGAGTTGCTTATCTTTTGGTATGTGTACAGTCAATTAGTTTGGGTATGGTGGGGCCCTGTTCCGTCCAGTACTTGTGCAGTTCAGCACACCTAGAGGCTTGTAGATATGCACCCTTGTGCAGTTAGTATGTTTTTATATGTAAGCTTGTGTTAGCCTAAACTATGCTTGTGCTTGTTCCGTTTGTCAGTTTACGTTTATGTTTAGTAGATTATCAGCAGGTTTAGTGCTGATCGACACTTAGAGAACTGAGAACTGATGCCATGTGAGTGGTGTTACGCCAGCTGGCATGCCTAAATCATAGGTTTGCCACCACATGTCGTCTGGCCCTATGAGCTAAAGTAGTGAAATCAATCCATTGGAGTCCACAATGCCCACTGTGCAAAGGATCCAATGACACTGATCAAGAAAACCTTGAGCATCCTCCAACTCTCCTCCGCTAAACTAGGGAGGATGAAGTCTCCGAAACCTGCTCCTCCACAGGAGCAATTGGTGGCTCCACAGGTGCTTCTCCTACCGTAGCCCGGGTCCCACTCAGCCTCTGCCTCGACCCCGGCCTCTCGCGGCCCTGCCTGGAGGCACTAGTTCATGTCCATCTGATCTGGCGGATTATGTCTTCTCCATCTGTGAGAGAATAGAAGAGTTAAAATACAAACTTAAAAATGACAAATCCGCACGACAAGAATGCAAGAAAGCAAATTTTTTCTAATAATTCTGTAGCCTCTAAAAGATAAGTACAGATGTCTCCGTACCGATCCATAACACTAACCTTGATCATGACCTGTAGAACCTATGAACCTAGGGCTCTGATACCAACTT